CTCAAGAAGAAGGAATAGATTTTGATGAAACTTTTGCACCGGTAGCCCGACTCGAAGCAATCAGAATTTTCCTAGCCTACGCCGCACACAAAGACTTCACTGTTTATCAAATGGACGTGAAAAGCGCATTCTTGAATGGTCTACTCGAAGAATAAGTTTATGTCGAACAACTCCCAGGTTTTGAGGTAAAAGGCGAAGGTGATAAAGTCTACAAACTTAAAAAGGCATTGTATGGGTTGAAACAAGCACCTAGAGCTTGGTATGATACTTTGTCAATGTTCTTGATAAGCTGTGGATTCACCAAAGGCCTTGTTGACAAAACTTTATTTAGAATTCAAGATGGTGATCATATTTTATTAGTGCAAATCTATGTTGATGATATTATTTTTGGAAGCACTAACAATTCTTTGTGTGAGAAATTTTCAAAGCTTATGCAGAACAAATTTGAAATGAGCATGATGGGTGAATTGAATTATATCTTGGGCTTACAAGTTAAACAAATGAAAGAAGGAATATTCATCAGTCAAGCAAAGTACACCCGCGACTTGATAAAGAAGTTTGGCCTTGATGGGAAATCATCGATCAAAATTCCAATGAGCACATCATTGAGGCTAGACAAAGATGAAGATGGAAAAGATGTCAATCAAACAAAATATAGAGGAATGATTGGTTCTCTTCTATATCTTACTGCAAGCAGGCCGAACATTTCTTATGCTGTGAGAGTGTGTGCAAGATTCCAAGCAAATCCAAAAGAAAGCCACCTCACCGCAACAAAGAAGATCATACGATATCTGAAAGGCACAATCAATGTTGGATTGTGGTATCCAAAAGGTACAGATTTTACTCTAATGGGTTTTTCAGATGCTGATTTTGCAGGTTGCAGAATAGACAGAAAAAGCACTTCCGGGACATGCCAGTTCTTGGGGGGAAGGCTTGTTTCTTGGTTCAGCAAAAAGCAAAATTCCATCGCAACTAGTACCGCCGAGGCCGAATATATTGCTGCAGGAAGTTGCTGTGCGCAAATTTTGTGGATGAAGCAACAATTGAAGGATTATGGAGTTAATTGTGATGACGTTAGTATTTACTGTGATAATACTATTGCAATCGCTATCACTCACAATCCGATGCTTCACTCAAGAACCAAACATATCGACATTCGACAGCATTTTATAAGGGATCACGTTGAAAAGAAGAATATAAAGATTGAATATATCCCTAAGGAAAACCAAGTTGCTGATATTCTCACGAAGCCTTTATGCGAAACGAGATTTTCTACCTTAAGGCACGAGTTGGGAATGATCGAAATGAGCTAAGTATCACTGGACTTAATCTCTCAATTTAGTTTGATACTTGTGCTCAAAATAAATTGTTTTACGTAATTATATGCATATATTTCTTCGAAATATGCATGTGTTATTTAACGTGTTATTGCAATATGTGTTAGATATTTAATTGTGTATTTGCATGTGTTATTTAACGTGAAATCATATGCCATGCAAATTAATTTGATGAAATATGCAATTTGTGATTATTTGACAATTTGTGTAGAATTGCATGTGCGAATATTTGTTCATGTTTGTATTAGTTGATTAATTTGTTTTCATGAACAATTTGCTTAAAAATCTAATTTAATGTGTTTATTGTATTATATATGTGTTTATGTGATATAATTTATTATAAAATGTTTTAAAAATCTAAGCTGTAAGTTGAGAATTTTTGCTGGTTTCTAAAATATTTTAGAATCTGATTTGTGTGTAAAATTATATGAAGTTGTTTCTAATTAAAAAAAATTGGAAAATGTGTGATAATTTTGTTAATTTCCAATATGTGTTTAATTTGATTGGAAATTGCCGTGTTTATGACTATATATATTGTTATGTGTGATTGATTATTTATGGATGATTCTTTTGCTACTAACGAGATTTTTGAGTGTGATTATATTTGTGGTACACGTTTTTGAGAAGGAAATCAAGAAAAAATGAGGAAAATCAGAGTTTAATTGGGAATCAAACCTCCACCCATAAACTCCTACCCAAATTAAACCTCCACCCAACCTAAACCTCCCCCTATAATCTTCTCCAAATCAAAATCTTTCCAAACAGATTCTCACTCTCTCTCTCGAATCGGCACCCCCATACCTCCTCTCAGCTAAAAATCTCAATCGTCTCCCACATAGCAATTAAAACCAAACCCCTCATTAAACTCTCCTCTCTAAACCGTTGTCCATCAAATCCCTTCCCATCCACCGCCATTGTGACACCCCAAAAATCCACATTCAATCCATGGATTAATTGAGTAATTAATCCTATTTTTATTTGAGGAATTAATTCCTAAAATCCTGATTTTTAATACTCAAGGACTAGAATTTGACTAGTCAACCTTTAAGTTGCATTGTACCTTGTGCTTTGAGGGGAGTTCCCTTGTTCCTTACACTTTCTAAGGGTTAGTAAGGGTATTCTTGTCTTTTCACCAAGAGTTAGTATTGTAACCTAACCTAGAAGACTTCTTCATTTCATTCCTTACAATTTCTAGAAAATAGTTCTACCTTCTCTCTAGAAAAGAAGTGTAGCTTATTCTCCAAGCCAAGTTGAGACCCTTGTCAAGATTTCAAGATTTGCTTCCAAGATTCAACCTTTCACCTATTTGGGCATCTAGGAGGGTAAGATCTAAGTTCATCTTGTGTTTTTGGTTCCACCTTAGTTGTCTTTTTCTTAAAGGAAGGATCTTTATGATCTTTTGGTTTAATCTTGAAGTGGGTTTGGAAAGTAAGCCTTGTGGAGAGCTTGTTGTGGTGTAAAGTGAAGTATTTTGGTCTTCAAGAGGTAACCCATGCTCTACAAAACCTATTTTGCTTACCTATATGTGATTTCTTGGATTCTACATGTGTTTTGCTATGAAATGTGAGGGTTTATGCATTTGTCTTGTGATATTGCATAACTAGAGCTTGTGTTTATGGTTCTTTTGTGCCATTGCTTGGCATTTTCCATGGTTCAAGTCATTTTGTTGTGTTTGGTGAGATTTGGCATGTTTTGGACTTGAATTTGTGTTTGGAGAAGAAAATCCCCAAAGGGATTTGTTGTGGTACAGGGTTGTTCCCGCGGGCGGAATGGCGGGCGGGGCACCTCCCGCCGGCCTACCCGCGGGTACATAGCCTGTGGGATGGTGTTCCCGCGGGCACACGAGTGGTGTTTGTTCGGGATTTGTTCCCCGTGATTTGTTTGACTCGGTATTTGGTCTTTTGGCTTCCCGTTGTTCTTTTGTGGAACTATTTGAGTGTCTTCTTCATGTTTCGTACGTCTAGAACTATACGGTAGGTACCCATGTAGGACTTTGGTGTCTTGAATCGTGCTAAGTGTTTAACATTGTGTTTTGTTGGACCAAGAGGTGTCTTGTGTGTTCCTCGGAACTATCTTGAGTTTCCCCGTTGATAAGCATGCTAGTTTGTTGTCTTAATGCTAGCATGTGTGTGGTTTGTACCTTCTCTTTGGTTGATGATAACTTGTGTTATTCATCGTTGTTGTCATTGGGTTGTGACCCGTTCCTTGATTGAGTATGTTTCATACCTTCGTTGTAATCCGTTGTTTGACTCTCGTGTGAGTGGTGGTGCATGTGTGGCTCTACCTGGATTGCATGATTAGTGGTATGGGACACTAGTCACCAAGGTATTGTAGCGGTCCTCGTGGTGGCTGTGACGTGATTATGGAGTTGTGGCCTGAGTGATGGGTCCACATTTATTGGGGGATAACATGTGTTATCCGGGCATGTGTTGCCGTGAGTGGTGGTGTTCGTTGGTGGCTGTTGGTGGGGGACGACGGTCCCGGGGGAATAAGGTTGGACTAAGAAGTACAGAGGTCCTGGAGGTAATGGTTGGAAAAGAAGGTACAAGGTTGGGGGTAGCCATAAGGTTGGAACATGGCATAAAGAAGGCATACCAACTCATGATGGGTGATGTTGCGAGGGCTTGTAAATCCGGCGTTGTGTGATCTTCTCTCGTGACGTGAGAAGTCACGGAGGCTTGTGTTGTTGTGGCATGTGTTGTCGTTGGGTGAGTCTTATTCCTTGCGTGTGGTTAACCATTGTGATTTGGGATGTGTTCCCATGTTATCCTTGAGAGTGATGAGTCTTGTGTTGACAATTGATCTTGGTTTTGACTTATATATATGTATTCCGTTTCGAAAATGGTTTTTATGACGTATATCTATCTATTTATGATACTTAACGGTATTCGTGGGTTACCAGCATTATTCGCTGACCAGGCGTCATCCCATGTTTATCTTTGTATCTTTCAGGTGATGTTTAGACGAGCTCGATGTCTAGAGCCTGGTAGCTTAGCACCTTTATCCTTGCTTTTGTGGCCTGTGCGCCGATGTAGTTACATTGATGTTTTGGGATAGATGTACACACTTGCAGATTGTTTGCCGTAGCGTTTACCGTGTTTGGTAGACGTGGCGTGACACCCCGTTGGATTTCTTTTATCCAGTTTCGTTTTTATCTTCCGCTGTGCTAGTTTTGTCGCTTAATCTGCATGTGTTAAGGCTTTTATATAAGTCTTGTTTGGGGGGTGTTACAGCCATCTCGACCAATGAGAAGACTTGCAGCTATCCGTCAAATCCCTTAAATTCTAAACGATGGCCAGAAAATTAACTCACCATCGGCAAGCGAACCGATAGACTTCTCTGACCGCCCTATATAATGGGAGACAGCCGGGCACTCTACCATGTGGAAGCTTTGTTTGTCTAAATTTTTTTGCAGGTGTAAAATGGTGTCCAACGACTCACAGGAGAACAGGATGAGGAAGACGACTTAGAGAACTTGGGAGAAAGTTCTCAAACAACCTCTAAGGGCGCAACGAACGGATGTACGAAGAAGAGAAGGAGAAACTCTGAGCAACCCACTGGTCTTGATATCCGAAGAGAAAAGGAACGAACCGGAGACGCCACAAGTTCAATCAGTACCGGAGTTACCGCCACGTGAACCTGGTTTCATTTATGATGAAGCAGATGCCAAGAGGAGACTGACGATCAAACCAGACAAGGTGGAAGGGTTTGAACCTCCATTTATGAAGTTCTCACCGGTTGTCCAACCTGATCTTTACGATGAAATTCTGAATATGGGAAATTCAGAATACCTTCACTATTTGAAGCAACTGACTTTCGGACCGGTTCTACCCCCTCCTGGTTTCGAAGGGCTCTACCAAACCTCCACCTCCACCAGAGCCTCTTCCGAAGTTTCCACCAAGTCTACCAATTCTTGCACCTCTGCCACAAGAAGTTCCTGCTCCTCCACCCCCTCCTCAGATGCCGGTTAACCCGTTCATCCGTCCTCCCGTGGACTTTACTAGGTTTTTTAATCAAACCTACTCATCATCAAGTTCAAACGGGTCAATGCTCGAGGAAAGCGAGTCCAGTGATGACTCTGGACCAGGATACGCTCCTTCACCACCAGGGGGTTATGATTCTAATGACTGCATGAGCACTGGCTTCTCTGCTTGCTGATTATGATCCAAAAACGTTATATCTCTCTCTCTCCCTAAGAAGGAGATAAATAAAAATTATGGCTGTTTTTGCTTCTAGTTCTCTCTATCTCTCTCTCCTAGAAATGAAAAATCCCTAAAGCTTATAAAAAGAACAAATATTCCGTAGCTAAGAAGATCCACAAAAAAAAAAAAAAAAAAACAAGGGAAAAATATAAGAATAAAAAAAGGGGGAGGGGGGGGGGGGGAATAAAAAATTATATGGCTACAAAAAGGGATAAAAGAATGAAAGAATTGTGGGATCTGATGAAATCGAAGTGTCAGTACGAGAAGAAGTAAGAGGACAAGTGTCAAAAGAAGTAAGAAGGGATATACCAGTTGAAGTTGCAGTAGAAATTGCTACTGGGAGTAGACAACTAATCAGAGAGGATTTATCTAGTGCATTGGCAGTAAACAATACCGAGTCTACCGTGCCTATCATGGACCCTGTTCTAGAAGATGAGAATTTGTATACAGACACCTGTACCAGAACAGAGTTTTTAGAAGAAGAGATTGGTGATCTGAATCAAGAAGTCGAATCACCTGAAGAAGAAGAAGAGATGCAACTTGTAGACACAATCGTTCTCACTGATCCGAGAAGGAGTCCATTCGGATCTCCTCAAAATATTATGCAGACAAGTGATCAAGAAGATGGCATATTTACATCCTTATTTGCCAAAGTTGCCGAATCCGGGTGATGTTGTTTGCCAAACCATTGGAGAAAAGTTGGTTGAACAAAGTCAAATGGTGGAACAACAACACACGGATACCCGAGTCAATCTGAGAGAACTCATGGAGTATCAACACAGTTTGAAGACTCAGATTGACAAAGCAGAAAGAATCTTGAAAGGAGAAGTGACAAAAGGATTACTTGAAGTGATCCAACTCATGAAGAAGGAACGTGAAACTGCTGAAAAGATTCACAACGAACGTCACTTGAGACAAATCAAGGCGATTCAAGATCAAGAAAGCCGAATCAACAAACTTGAAGTTGAACTCACAGTTGTAACAAACAAGCTGGACAACGTACAAGTTGTTTCTATTGAAACACACAATGGTGTTGAAACTGTGAAAGCGAACCAAGACCGAGATTCTAAGACCCTTGCATTTTTGGTTGATAACGCCAAAAGGGGGAAAGAAATTCTTAGACACTTGGCTTTGCAACAACAATAATTTATTCTTGGAAGCCAACAACAGCAAGTAACACCGACCCAAGGTCGAGGCCGAAGCCGCGGACAATCCTCACAAGGACCATCTCAGATTGGTTTTGCTCAGTTCGCGAGTCCTAGTCTTGGTACGAGTACATCGAGAGTTGCTGAAACTCGTGGCTGGTTTGAATGCTCTAAAGGTCACGCCACTCAGACAACAATATGGACTAAGGAAAATCTACCAAGCATGATCAAGAAATGGCCTGCAGCCGATCAAGCCCAATGGATCTCGGACAAAAATAAAGAAGAAGAAGGCAAACGGAAAAGAACGGAGATGTGGTATGAACTAAGAGATTTCACTGAAAACATGGGCATGAATCTTGGAGAAGAAAGAAGCTTCGAAGAATGTGTTGTATGGTGGGAAGCTGGAGTTTTTCTGGGCAACAATATTAAGAAAGCTTTTGGATATTACATGGCTGGGCAAGTTACAAAGAGATTCCAGAATGCAAAGTTCAAAGATGATTTCTTCAAGCTCAGAGAACATGTCAAGGAAATCTTGAAGAAAGACATAGGTGTGAAGAAACCTAGAAGGTAATCTGAAAATTCTCTTAAACTGATATTTTCGCTATTTTCGAACATCTGTTGCGTTTTTCTCTAAAATATTCGAAATATATCAATAATAATTTCCCATGGTCTATTTTGAGTTTAGAATTTTATTTGTTTGTTGTAATTAGACCTTCGTGAATTAAAATGACAAGGAATGTTAAAACGCACATCAAAATAAAAAAAAAAATGATGATAAAAAAATAATATAATAATTCAAGATGCGTTTAGGAGCTTGTCTAAAAATTAATTCACAAGTTTCTTTTGATTGTGTCTCGAAAACAATTTGTTAAACTCATCTTGGCTTTGTCAAATAAAATGGAGCAAAATGATTATTTTTCAAAGACTTAAAGCCAATGACTGAGTATATGTTTTGGCATTATCAAAAGGGGGGAAATTGTTAGGAATAAAGTGTAATGGTTTTGATATGGCAAATATGTATTTGTAGAACCCCCAATTTTATTTTATAGGTCTAGCAGAGTCCTAGACCATGATCGGGAAATTATTTAAGTTGCAAAAGAGAAAAACAGAGGAATATGCATGAAAATAGAAGAAGAAGATATAAAGCCTAAAATCAAGAATTTGTCTGGTGAAAATGACAAATTGAAGAAGAAGATGAATGATATGATATTCACGTCGTTACTACTAAAAAAGAATTCCCATAAGAATTTTTGTGAAAGAAAATTAAGTTTGGAAGAGTGCATGAATTTGACTTGGAGATCAAGCATCTATGGAAAGAAAGGAGTATATCAAAGGTGATTGAAAATGTAACCAATATACCGTAGGAATGAGTTGGAAGATGCCTGATACATTATACGAAATGGCTCATGTTTGAATCTCACTATTAACAATTTTACAAGGTAAAATTTGAGAAGCCAAAATTAATTAAGCCTGATGGAGTTGGGCGCTAGTTTGGCTTTGGGCGTCAATTACAAGTGGAAACTGATTTCACATGGGAATCAATCCAAGTTGGGAGCGCCAATTCAAGAATTAAGCCTGATGGAGTTGGGCGCTAGAATTAAGCCTGATGGAGTTGGGCGCTAGTTTGGCTTTGGGCGTCAATTACAAGTGGAAACTGATTTCACATGGGAATCAATCCAAGTTGGGAGCCAATTCAAGTTGTCAATTACAAGTGGAAACTGATTTCACATGGGAATCAATTCAAGTTGTAGTATGGGATGCAATTTCAAATTGGGGACCAATTAAAAGAAGACGTTTGGGAAGCAAATTGAATTGAGATGAAATTCAAAACCAGGAGAAGTCTGGGAGCCAATTTCGAAATCAAAGTCAAAGAAATACAAAACCAGGAGAAGTCTTGGAGCCAATTTCGAAATCAAAGTCAAAGAAATTCAAATTGGGAAGCAATTGAAGCACCAGGAGAAGTTTGGGTGTCAATTACAATGGAGAAATTCAAATTGGGTGCCAATTACAAGTCAAAGTCAATTGGGTGCCAATTACAAGTCAATTGCAATTGGGTGTCAATTACAAAGGAGAATTCAAATTGGGAGGAAGTTCAAAGCCAGTTTGAAGTCTAAGAACACCCTGGGTGCCAATTACAATGGAGAAATTCAAATTGGGTGCCAATTACAAGCCAATTGCAATTGGGTGTCAATTAAAAAGGAGAAATTCAAATTGGGAGGAAGTTCAAAGCCAGTTTGAAGTCTAAGAACACCCAGACGTGAGAATGAAGAAGAACAATGGAGAAATTCAAATTGGGTGCCAAAGGAGAAATTCAAGTTGGGAGGAAGTTCAAAGCCAGTTTGAAGTCTAAGAACACCTAGACGTGAGAATGAAGAAGATGAAGAAAAACTTACAGTGAAAATAAAGATGAAGAAAAACTTACAGTGAAAATATTTTCAGAAGGAAAAATGCTAGTCTAACTACTATGGGATTAAATTGAAGAATATTTTTGAAGCATTTAAATTCCAAAGAAACAAGAACCACTTCAGAGCTGATCAGAGAAGTCATTCTACACAAAACTGAGACCCAGATATTCCCAAGAAACGTGAGAACACCAGAGGAATATCAGATGAAGTTTGGGAACTCATTTGCATGAAGTTGAAGCTCTACAAACGGCTAGCTTATCTTTTCTAACACTTTTCCAGAAGATAAGATAAGATCTCTGACAAAAAGATACAAGAATTCAAAAATGAGATCATCTCTTTCCAACGGGCAGATCCTCATTAGCAGCTATAAAGTGATGAAGATATGAAGACTTGAAGAAGGGGAACGTAGAGCACAGAACACGAACTCACAAAGAAAAGAGCAAGAATACATAGAGCAAAAGTTTCAATTGGTACAGAGCATACCAAAAGAAATCTTCAAGTGAGAGAAAAGAAAAAGAACTCAGAGAGCTTCAAAAAGAAATATTCTGAGAGTTCAAAAAGCAGAGCTAAACAGAGCATAAAAATCAAGTTCTTTACTTGATACATTCAAAGAGAGAAAAACACTCAGAGATACAGAGCTATCACGAGAAATCATTCAAGAGTGTTAAATCTTCATCAACAAGAGACCTGCACCATATTGAAGATCATCCACAGAGTCTCAGAAGTTGGAAGTAAGAAGAAAACTTGTTTTTGAACAAGTGATATTCCTACGGGAGTGTAGGAAGGGAGGAAAGTAGCACGGAGCTGTGAAATCCTGGATTGTCACACGGAGCTGTGAGATTCGAAGCAGCAGTGTCGGAGGCACTGGGCGTGATTAGTGCGGGCTTTGTGATCAAAGAACTAGATCATGGAATACGTTTCTACCGGAGTGTGGAAGACGGGGGGAAAGTAACGCGGAGTCGTGAAATCCTGGGATAGTAGCGCGGCGACGTGAAACCCGAAGCAGCAGTGTGGTGTCACTGGGCGTGATTAGTGCGGGCTTGGTGATCAAAGCACTAGATCACGGAATTCATTGTATCTTGGAACCAAGAAGTGGTGGATATAGTGAATTGCTCTTGGAGATAAGAGCAAGTGGAGTAGGAGGATTACACCACCTCCGAAACACTATAATTGTCCTGTGTTCTTTACTGCTTTCTTTACTTACTGCTCTTTACTTGCTTCACACGAGATATACTTGTCACAATCTCACACACACTTTATCTTTATTTATTTCCGCTGCGTCTGTGCCTTAGCAATTGTTGTGCTGTGCAAAAAAGCTTGAAAGTCTATTCACCCCCCCCCCCCTCTCTAGACTTTCACCTAACCTCTTTTGGGACCAACACAAAACCCTATTAATTGGCGTGATCCATACTTCATCTTGTTACCACAGCCGCCACAAATGAATTCTTGATTTCATCTAGTCCCCTGGTGTGCTTCACTGCAATTTTAGCGTCTTGGCACGGTGCACCTTAAAAAACAGAACCAAATCATCTTTCCCCAAAAAGACAATGCTAATAGGCATTGCTTCTCATACTGTAAATTAGGTGTACAGTTTCATCAATGTCCAATGCGTAATTCTAATTAATTGACCAAAGTTCATGTTATATTTTATATTGTATTTTTTTAATACACTCTAACATATTCATAGTATATGTATAACAATTATGTCAGTTTTGATTGGGATGGGATTCGTACCTAAGACTTCACAAATGAAAATCAATGAATAACATAAGAATAATAAATAGTTGACGGAAAATTCCGTTACTAAAGTTTACATAAACCAAATGCAGACGGTAAGTAGGAAAAATAATAAAAAATAATAAAATAAAAATAATGTGAACAATTAATATCAACAAACAATTACAACAATGTTTTTTTAGTTCCCGTTAGGGCCTAACTTTATTGGCTCTTAGCTACATAAGAATAACTAGTAATGAGTTGAGATGGTCGAGTTAGTCTATGGCGCTTGATTAAGGTTTTGGTTTAATTTGAAAGGGTGTGGGTTCAAATCCCACTCTCAATAATAAAATATTATTATTTTCAGCCTTTTAATATAATTACAATATGATATGATTTTTAAAA